ATTATTTGTTACAGTTTTATACTAAGATCCCTTTAAATACGTACTAATAATATTTTACAACTTTAGTCAAAGAACTCAACCCGCAAAACTCTAAAACCATAAATGATACAGGTACGACCACCAAAGACCGTCTGGTTGGGCCAACATAGGAAATTCTGTAGACACGTGACATGGCTTACAAGTTTACAAGGACCCTAATGCGAAAAGCTGATTCGGCAATGTCAACTAAATAATCCTAATTATGTCATAAAATTTTATCAGTATGCTTTTAGTGATCTAATTACAATACAAGACTATGAAATTCTTATAACAACTGATGGACTGTAAACACCATTTAACTTTTATAAAATATAATACCCTTGTATTGTGGCTATGAATCCGCTTTGAATTTTTGTCCTAGATATCCATATTTTCTTAGAAAAAATTCAAATTATATATTAATAGGATTCTATATCAGTACAGGAGCAACTCGAACATTGCGCTAAAATGACTTGCTAATCGCATCGAACTATAGTTTTGGAAATTTCATTCCTATAAAATACCATATAAAATTTTATTGTCAATAACGAGACCTAGCAAGAGACAATAGCAAGAGATATTTACAACTTAAAGTTGTCGGGTGCCGGTAATCCCTACTTAATTTATGAGTACAACTACCTGCTAAATGTTCTCCGACAAATTCTGGTGAACTGATGTCAGCCATAAATATTTCTTACCATTATACTACTGTCCGCCTCGTCATTGTCAATAAAATTTTATAGGGTAGAATGAAATTTCCAAAACTATAATAACGTAGTGGTCGCCTGTTCGATCTCCTCATGGGTAATTTTTTTTCTTACGCTTGATTGGTATTATATACAGTTTTTTATAGATTCGCAAAATCAAATTTTACATTTTTTTGAAATAACTGGATTTTGTTGAACTGGATTTCAAAGGAGAAGAAAATTCTGTCTGAATACCCGTAGACCAATTTTTATAAGTACATATATACATTTATATATAAATAACACTTTTCCACTAAACCTAGTTTAATGGTTCTTTCGACATTTAATTAAAAATTTCACCGACAAGAAAAAATTAAGGGAAAAAGGATACATAATTTGTTGATTCTTGCATTTTGTTACACTTTTTTTTTAATAATTTTAGTACGATTAAAGTATAAAACTGACTTTTTGCACATTTTTGTGTCGCAATATAAACTATTTTGTAATTTTTACTTTCTGAGCGTAAGCTAAGGAAGTATTGTAATCGAGTCTATAGGCGAATTCCCTACTATTATGTTTTTTCGACTTTTCATGACCCCTATAGTACGAAAAAATAGGTCTCCCGTTTTCGTCTGTCTGTCTGCCGTCTGTCCGGATTTTTACTACTGAGCCGATTGTTATCGGATTTTGGATGAACATTAGGAATATCATGTAAATGGTAAAACGGTCACAAAAATTTGACTACCAAATCGAATGACGTCATCTCAAAAATTTACAATAATATTTTTTTCTAATTTTATAAAATAAGATACTTTTGCATTTGTGGTGTATGAATCCGTGTTGAGTTTTCACTCTAAACATTCAGATTTTTGGGGAAAATATCAAAATTGTATAACAATATTTCGCAGTTTAACTTTAAAATTTGCAAAACCGAATGCTCTGAAATCTTGCAAAACATTTTAAAGTTATTGTGAGCATGGTAAATTTTTAATAATATATGTGCTTATCCCCTCCAAAAATTTCAAAATTTTGTCGAATACATCCTCTCGCAAATGTACAAAACTACTTGTAAATTCCATTCATATTTTTTAGAATTGCTTATACAGTAGTATCTTAGGAAGTACTAACCCCACCCACCCGCCCTCTTGTCATTCTAGCGACAAGTTTTATTCAAAGCAGATAAAATTAATCACTAAAATGGAGACGGGTGGGTGGGCGGGGTTAATTTTAACTTTTTATATTTTATAGGCAAGCAATAAAAAAATTACAAAAAAAATCTAGGATATATTCCAAGTGTTGGCTCACGACGAATAAAAAAAATCTTCACAATTGAGAGAGGGCGGGTGGGCGAGGCTTATATATTGCCTTTTTTTTCTTAATATACATAGTCATCTTATCACAACAAGAAACTTAAAACATGTTTAAAATGGTAAATTTGTATAGGGAAACATTGGTTTTTCAATTACGCTCCACCCCTCGGTCTAATAACTAGTGAAAAATTCGTCACGAATGAGACGGATGGGTGGGGCTTATCTTCTTGTTTTATTTTTTAATTAATAAGTACATTTAGTTTTCTTTGTATAACACGATAACTGAAGAACACATTTCACATGGTAATTTCTCGTAGAAAAATAAGGATTTTACAATTAAGCTTCGTTCCTCGGCTTACGACGAATAAAAAAAATCATCACAATTGCGACAGGGCGGGTGGGTGGGGCTTATATTTTGCCTTTATTTTCTTGATATACATAGCCATGTTTGCATAACAAGAAACTTAAAACATGGTTAAAATGATACATTTTGCAAGGAAATATGGATTTTGAATCATGGGGCGGAGCCTAAATGTAAAATCGATATTTCCTTATACCAATTTTCTATTTTAAACATGTTTTAAGTGTTAGGTTGTGAAAAGAAGTCTACATATATCAAAACCAAAAGGCAAAATGTATGCCCGCCCACCCGCCCTATCGCAATTGTGATGATTTTTTTTATTCAATGTGAACCAGGAGGGCGGAGCTTAACTGCAAAATACTTCATTCTTTACAAGAAATTAAAAAATGTTTTTGAGTATCGTGTTGTTCAAACACTAGTACGCATATTAAGAAAAAAAAGCAATGTATAATATATTGCTTATACAGGTGACTCAAAAAAAATGAACGAGTCAATTTATTTTATTGATTAAACCAGGAACGAGTCACTCCATTTTCCAGAAAATTTGAAAATACAATACTGTTATTATTACACTCCACCGATGCAAATTGATATACTTGTGCTTGCAAAAATATTGACGACGTCATCACAAAATTTTATAAACGAAAAACTTTTTTAAACATGCCCGTAACACGCTTCTTTACATTTATTTTAACATTACATACATATCTTTATTCTAGCTTCTAGGAGTAAAGAAATTAAATTTGCAAAATCAAATTTTACAATTTTTCGAAGGAGTTGGATATGTTTCATTTATACTTCCTTCGACCAATTTTTAACATTCGTTTTCCCAAATATCACAATAAACACAAAGTGTGATCTAAAATTTAACTTCGAGCTCAAATCAGAAGACCGAAGAGAAAATTAAGAGTCAAATACGGAAACTTTTGATTTTGAGAAATCGTGATTCTTTCTGCAGACTTTCTTTCGTACTGGTAGTTCTAAGAATACCCGAACAGCAATGTATTGTTTCATTTTGGTAACATTAAGACCTTGTGCTAAACTAAATCGTGCTTAGATCTATTTGGAGACCTGACCCTAACATGTGGTTGTCCATCGAACCGGCACGAGTCACTGAAATCTGGCTCACAAAAGTCCTAAGTGTGTCTTTTTCCTTCAGGTTTTTTTACACTATTGTTATTCTTGTTGTTATTGTTGTTTTTTATGTATGTTGTTAATATAAAATTATTTAATAAAATAAAATAAAATAAATAAATAAATAAATATAAAGATAACCCTTCTTTATTAAGTGCCCGTCACAAGAACAACAAATGAATTTACCTTCCGATTAAGAAATTGACAAACTTATTATGATCAAAAACTGCCATTTTCTGAGGGCTAATTTTAAAATGTATACTATATTAATCACTGACATGATAGATATTTAGATATCCTTCTCCCCTACCTATTCAGGCCTGTCTGTGTTGACAATATTGATTATGCTTTCACTCCATCAGGATATTAGTAGAAGAAAAGTAACAAATTCTAACTTTGTGTGGATCACGTAACCGACTTCAATACAGCGCAAATTTGTTTTAGCTCTTATTTCTTACGTAGGTGTTATTTTGCATCCGTGAGAAGAATACCTATCAAAGAGGGAGTTCTTTACTTTTCAGCCTTCGATATCTAACTAGAATACAAGCCTATCTTCATTATTAAACAATCCAAGGTATTTGTTAAAAAAAAAAGAAATGGAAGAATATGACATTTTCTAATTTCCGATTTTGAAGTATTGCCACAACTCCTTGTTCTCTTCTTTTAGTTTCATTATAGTGAATTTAAAACAACAATTAAACAACAAAATATTACTACTAAACATTTCAATGGAACGTTTGATTTGTATTTTTCTCATGTTCTTGTAAGGATTTTAATGTTTAGTAGATAACTTGCAACCTTTCCAGTGTTTTTTTTTAATATCTTTGACCTTTAAAATATGTGTAGCTAGTGCATAAGCAGCTCCACCAAAAACAAACACCCACTGAATAAGTGACGACAGAAATAAAATGTCGCTGAAGCACATAATCGCAACAACTTTGAGTTTTGCAAATAACATGTTTATTCCAGACCCCATAAAACGTGGGTCTCCATGCATTCTAAAAATGTTTTTTTAAAACGGATTTTACAGAAGACATTAGAGTCTATTTTTGTGAAATCTATGCTTAGTTTACACCATTTCGTGTGAGTTTCAGAAAACAATTTCCGCGTAGCGCCAAATTTACAACGCACAAACAGCGTGTGTAATGTTCTATTTAGGTCAATTTTCCTCTCTGCCCCCAAATTTATGTTATAGTAGCAACTCTGTTTGGACAAGTCCAGACATAAAATTGAAATTTCCTCACACTAACTTCCATTATTTGCTTCGCCTGGCACATCATTTCCAAACAGCTGATCACACCAACGCACTCTAAATCCCCCATAAAAAACCAGTCAAACCGGTTTCCCAACAAACTCCCAAATCCAAAAAAACTCAAAACTATCATTGCTTTGCGCCAAGATTCCACCTTTATGTAACTGATGTATTTATTAGCATCTCAATGTCACCGAAAATTACAAAAAGCCGCCAATCATTTTTTCAAAAACACTTACGTAGTTTCTGTAGCTGCTCATTATTTGAAAATAGATCACTTCACTTTCAGCATATTAGTCAGTGCAATTAGTAGCCAAAACCGGTTAAGTTTACATGGCACACGCTATGACTCGGAACCTGAAGAAACCAATCGGACGAAACGTCGGCGGGTAGATAAGCGCAAAATCATTCAACACAAACACGAAACGAAAATGGAAACACCAATTAAAAAAACTAGCACGAAATCGATAAAATTGTAGAGTCTAACCTCGCACTATTCTAACCACTAAGTCAAACGTGGATTCCGGCGCTTAGCGCCCTCGGCGTCGCCGCGGCTTAAGTCGAGAACTGCCGACAAGGGTCGAGCGACTATTTAAAGAACAAATTGTTTAATTTGTATAAAGTCTCATTAGGCGTGATTTGGTATTGTTAAATTGTAATAATAGAAACGCGGTAATTGGTGTGTAAGTCACAAAGGTGGTAATAATTCACATCGGTGCTAATAATAAACAACGCTGAGTTCTTTTGAGGGATTTGATGTGTTGATAAATGTGAGAGACCTTGCTTTTGAAAGAAATGAGTTAATATTTTTAAGGAATTACTGCCGGTAAATTTTTTTGGTTTTTTATTAGCGTCTTCACTTTAACTAGTTCCTAATTTGAATAATTGTATGTTACTTTATTTATTCGCTTACATATCTCCTTCGTATACAGGTTATGCACAAAATTCATAAAAAGCGCAGTGTTTGTTTTTAAAAAATATGCAAAAATATGTCAAGCTTTTCATTTTCGTTTCCATCTTTTGACACTTGTTAAAAAAAATTAATTAATAATTTTTTTTAATGAAATGCTATAATTTTGATCAGATTATTTGATAAAGCTCATTTTTCTACATATGAAAATGTAGCTTGATGTTGGGATTGCGTAATAAAAAAATGAAATAAACATGCGATGAACATAAAACAAAATGAAATCCAAATAACTAAAAATTAGAACAAAAACCTGTCAAAGAAAATCGCTTTTGTCAGTTTCTTAAGTGCTTTAATAAAATACCGATAATTTAGACGACTTGAAAGCACAAATTCGTCCCCAGAGTATTAAAAATTCCGTCAATCAGGTCTACCGTGTGCCGGATAATGCATGGGGAACAGTTTGAACAATTTCTGTAGCATAAATTTTTACTCCAACGTATTGTTTATAATTACAATCAAGTTTATTTTGTTTGCTGTTAATTTTCTCATTTTTTTTTATTTTGCAACTCCTACATCAGACTACATTTTCATATGCAGAAAAATAAGCTTTATCAATTAAAGTATCAAAATTATACCTTCCTATTTAAAAAAAAATCAATGATGACGTCATAACTTTTACAAATTTGACGTAAAATTTTGTTGACATATGTCAAAAGATGTAGAGGACAATAAAAAGCTTGACAGGTTTTTGACTTTTTTTCGAAAACAAATGCTACGCTTTTTATGAATTTTCTGCATTACTTTTATCATAACCCTGTATATAATGGATGCTGGAACTGTTCTAAAGGGCTTTTATTAATGTTTGATATCTAGTAGGCCATAGTTGGCCTCTCCCTACGTTTTATAAATATTGTTTATTTTTGAAATTCAGATGCGACGTTGCCACGTTATTCCAATTTTCTTGAATTTCTTTGCCAATGGAACGGTTCACAAATAAAATCGCAATAGTGTTATTTTTAAAGTAAGTCTTACAATATTTTGTAGGAGGATAAATAAAGGTACGCGCTTTGTCATCAAATTTTTAGGGGGGATGAGCAAATAGATTTCGATCAAAATTTTACCATGCTTACGATAAATTTAAAACATCTCCAAGATTTCAAAGCATTCGGTTTTGTAGTTCCTGATTAAATCAATAAAATAAATTCACACTTTCATTAATTTTTTTTGAGTCACCCTGTATATGCAAATCCAAAAAATATGAATGGAATGATAAATCACAACTACAGACTCATCATATTTTGCACATTTAAGATAGGACTTATTCAGCAAAATTTTGAGGTGATGTCATCAATTTTTTAGGGGGGGTGAGCAAATACATTTTGACTATAAATTTATCATGCCTATGACAACTTTAAAACATCTCCAAGATTTCAAAGCACTCGGTTTTGTAGTTCCTGATTAAATCAATAAAATAAATTCATGCATTCATTAATTTTTTTGTCACCCTGTATACGCAAATCCAAAAAATATGAATGAAATGATCACAAGTACACACATCATATTTTGTACATTTTAGATAGGGTTTATTCGGCAAACTTTTGAGCTGACGTCATCAATTTTTTGGAGGGGATAAGTAAATATATTTTGATTTTAGAGTATTTTCCTCAAAGAACCGTACAACCTTTGGCGTTTGACTTTTTTAATTTTTAAGGAACGCGCGTTTAGTGACTCACCCTGTATATATTTGTATGTACAGTCTCATTAATTACTAGATATAGAAGAAATCTACGAACTAAAGTTGTACGGCTATTTGAGTAGCATTCATTAAAATTATCTTCTACTATACCGAGTGTTTTCTTTTCAGGGCATAGCACACAGTTTAGTTTTTTTTTACACAGAATACCCTATACATTTTTACACATTCTTATTACCTTTTTCCTAGATATTATAACCATAGTTTATTTTTGAAATTTCGTTGTTTCAGTTTTTTTCAAATAGAACAAAAAACACTCGGTATTGTATTACTATTATCTATTTTTTTGTTCTCTTTCTTTCAATACATCGATGTGTTCTTTAAAACAGTAAAAAATCTAAATAACTATCAACTTTAAAAAATATAGTAAATACTAGGAAACCTAAAAAACAGAATCAGACGCAATAATAAAATTTCGGAATCTGTCATTTGAAAAAAACTGAAATTCAAATTGTTACTTTTAATTTTTTTATAAACACTCTGTATACTAAAACCACATTTAATTTACACCACAATAAAGCCCTTATTTTTATTTATCTCTCGACAAAATATAGTAATCCAGGTTTTAAAAATAACCCTGCTGTGATTTTTTTGTGAACCCTTTAATTCCTAAAAAATTCAAGAAAATTGGAATAACTTGGCAACGTTACATTAGAATTTCGAAAATATAGATAAAAATATACAGGGTATTCCATTTGAAAAACTAAGTTGTGTGTTACCCTAGAACACTGTATGTGTTTCAAAATAATTTTGGTTTTTGGATGTCAAAGAACTTACAATTTTGCTCTTTTTCTCTATTTCTATACGTGTGTATATCTGTATATCTTATGTAATATTGTAATATACCTTGGTACATATTTTAAAACTAGTTTCTAATATTAATGTACAGATAGTACAAGAAAGTACAAAAAAAAGTGAACATTTTCTCCCATTAAACAATACGAAGAGTTTAAATCTAATAATTCAGATTTTTTTCTCAACGTGGTCATAATTACTGTAATACCAAAAAGATTACTAAAACTAAAAATTTTAAAGATCAAAAATGTTAAAAATCTAGAAATTGAAAAACCGAAAAATTGAGGTCCGAAAAGTTGAAACATATAAAGAACGGGCAATCGAAGCATCAAAAAACTAAAAAATCTAAAATTTAAAAGTCCGAAAAATTGACATAGAAAAAGCGAAGAACTGAAAATTCAAATCATCAAAAAACTGATAAATCGAGAAATTGAAAAATCCCAAAAACGAAATGTCAAAAAATTGAAAAATCGAAAAATTGGAAAATCGAAATATTGAAAAACCGCCAATCGAAATTGAAACACTGAAACAATGAGAAATCAGAACATCAAAAGAACGAGAAATCGAGAAACCGAGATGTCGAAAAATCGAAAAATTGAGAAATCGAAAAATTCGAAATTGAAACATTTAAACTTAAAAAACCGATATATCGAAAAATTGAAAAATTAAAAGCTCGAAACATCTTAAATTCAATAAGCCGAGGAAACAAATAATGGAAAAATCGGGATACTAAAACATAAATCAAGAAAATGTGAAATCGAAAAATCGAAAATTAGAGATGTCAAAAATTGAAAAATCGAAAGTTGAAAAATCCCAAATAAAAGTAACGAAAAATTGAAAACCGAGAAATCTAAAAGATGAAAAGAAACATTTCTATTCCATTTTGTTTTTTTTTCAAAAATCTCGATGCCTAGGATTTATTTAAATTTAACACGGATTCATAAGTTTTGTACATTTTAGATTTAGAATTTATTCAGTGAAATTTTGAAATGACAAGATTCAGAGCGCAATTTCTAAATTAAATTATGTTGTAAAATTTTTATTTTTTTTACGGAAATCTGAATCCTTAGGTTATAAAATCATGGCGGGTTCATAAACTACAAGTACAGGAGTATATTATTTCATATAAAATGGGTAAAGTTAATTATGCCATATAATGAGCGGACGTCATCAAACGGTTACTGGAGATGACTATCCAAATTTTGGTTAGCGTTTTACCTTCTACATGATACTCTTAATAGACAATCAGTCTAGTAGTTTCGGAGATTATCTATCTGATAAAATTTCGAACAGACGACAGATAGACAGACACAGACAGACAGACAGATAGACAGACAGACAGACAGAAACGGGAGACCTATTGCAATACTTTCGTCGCTTACGCTAGGGAAGTAAAAGTAAGGAAAATTTTGAGATGATCTCATCAAGTTTTTCGCTGAGATAAACAGTTAAATTTAGTGATTGATAATGTTTACGATAATCTTAAAGCGTTTGAAAAATTTCAAAGTACATATGTATTCGATTTTGCATTTTCAAAGTTAAATTGAACAAGTTGTCATACAATTTTGGCTTTTTTTTAAAATTTGGATGTCTAGGGTAAAAAATCAAGACGAATTCTAAACCATCATAAGTATAGAAGTCTATTATTTTATAAGTTTTAAAAAACATTTACTACGTAAAATTTTAAGATGACGTCATCAAACTGTCGGTGGGGATAAACCAACAAAATTTGGCCAGCCGCTAGCTCTCGATCTATCTGTGCAGGTCGGTTTAGTAATTTCGGAGATTAGATACGTGTAATAAAATAGCCAACAGACGGAAACAGGAAATCTACTTGTTCATATTTCAGGAGCTATAAAACGTCAAGAAAATCGCTGAAACACATCAAATGATTTTTCATAGGGAGGATATTAAAAAAAATCTCGAACATTTTAATATTACCGAATTTAATTATTTTTCGTGAAATCAAACCTTAAACTTGAAACAACAAATAAATTG